TACTTTGCTCGACCGGGAAATCGAACCCGAGACCCTTTGCCCGGCAGTCGCACCTGCGACCACTCGGCCTAAAAGGGGAGTCTAATTGATTGATTATTCTTTTAAGGCTTATTAAGCGAGATGATACGACATAGATTCATGCACGTATGTTTCTAGTTTTACATATTAAAATGGGTTATGTTATCATAGCCTGGTATGTCTTAAATAAATATTGCTAGGTTTCATCTTTAGTACTAAGATGTAAAATTATGTTTGAAATATTGCCTACTTGAGATTTTGTTTTGTGCAGACATTTATGTTATTATGAACTCTCGGCCTGTGGCTTCGCTCGAGAAGATTTCTGTCGAGTACGACTGTTGGGGCTTCTCACTGAAAAGAAAACTATTTTCATTCACCTTTCAGATTTCAGTCTTTGAAGAATAAGAATTTCCGGACCCCTCTGCTTCTGAATTGTGACGTAGTTTCATATGTTTCTACTTCAATATTTTACTATGAAAAATTTAATAGCTAATGTAATTAAAAGTGTAATTTCTCTGTAGAACTTCATTAAAACATTCTCATAGAGGTGTTAATGCAAGTTTAATAGTTACAAATACAGCAAGGTTTACCATCCTCTCGTGCAAGCAATTAGCAGCCTTAAGTACAAACAAGTTGTGCCTAAATAAATATCATTATTGATTGGTACGAAATGTTTAATGACTAGTCGTGTGGTTTCTTTAAGTAAATAGAAAAATAAGTTTAAAACTATTAGATTAGTACCTACATAGAACTAACAATGTTATATGACTGCATCAGGGAACGAGAGGTATGATTTAAGTGTGGGAGATCCATGCTTCGGCACGAATGGGCCGGCTCGACCGGAGTGATACCACGGCCTCACAGAAAAACTGATGACTGACTCGACGTGAAACAACGCTTGCGTGGTGTTTCCGGTAAGTGTAAGTGAAGTTACCGGAGGACCAATAACCTAAATAAAAAAATTTTTTTTGGCCCCGTGGTGGGATATTGGCATGGTGGCCCCTTGCCTGGGCAGAACGAACCTGCGCTATACAATATAGCACCGGCATTTTCCCGCCTGTGTAAGTCGTCGACCATGCCATAGGACCAGCATAATTATGTCTCTTCATACATAGCCTCTAATTGCCTTTTGATTGTAGATTACATAACAGAATGAACTTAGATCGATCACTCCATTCTGTAGACAATGATGTACTAGCACGTACAATAGTGTACAATGTGATCTTTGATCTCCACACAATGCTGCTAGATTAGCTAACTACTGACCCTTTTGTGTGTATGGGAATGTAGTACGAAGTACTTTGGTGAAATATCTCGATCTTGGTGACCAGTCTCCAAATAGAGTAGGAAACTACTTAAGTGTCGTCTATCGGTAACAAGTACTCATTATCTTATATCTTATACTCTTATACTATACCTTATATTATATAAAGCGGAAGAGTTTGTTTTTTTGTTTGCTTGTTTGTTTGTTTGTACGCGCTAATCTCCGTAACTACAAGTCTGATTTGAATAATTATTTTTGTGTTGGATAGCACATTTATCGCGGATGGCTTTAAGCTATAAAACATCACGCTACGACCAATAGGAGCTGAGCAGAGCGTGTGAAACCGCGCGGGAGTAGCTAGTTTTTATAATAACTATGGTGAGACATACTGAGCTAACTAAAAATAACGGTTTGACCACGTAAATATACCGAGAATAGCTTTCCTTGTTTCGAGTCACTTTGCGACCCTTCCTCATGAGAAGCGTGTGCGGTCGCGGTGGCGTCGCGGTGACGTCGCAGTAGGCCACGCGTTATGTTAGTAGTCTGTACCGAACGGAAAGACGAACCGAGTAATAATCCAGATACTATAGTTACATACACAACGTCACGCTTTTATCATCGAAGGGGTAGGCGTAGAGGTGCACATTACGACACTTAATGCCACTGTGCAATGTAACACCTATTTTTCACTATCTATGTTATAAGTCCCATAGAGGGTCTTGGTTCCCGAAACGAAATAAATCAGAAGATATTTTAAGAGAAAAAAATAAAAAGGGAACCGTTAAAAGTTTATGATTCTCTATATTGACACACATATATAACCTCACGCCTATCTAGAGACTATGAAACGTCATAACTACTATTCTTACATAGGCACCTGTTTTACTTCATCAACAGTCATCAGTATTTACATGCACGTTTTCATTCATCTAAAAATACGTATACAGATAATAATTTAAATAACCCACCACTAATAAAAAATTACATCATTCCTGTTATGAAAATACCCACCTTTCACACACACACACACACACACACACACACCCTCACACACACACACATACACACACATACACACCCACACACCACACACACACACACACATGCACACACACATACACACCCACACACCACACACACACACACAGACGCACGCACATCACAAACTTCAATGAACTAAACACATTACGTAAATCAGTATTGCAAACCGATCATGTGATAGAAAGCGATATCAAAGTGGACGAAAATCGATTAGCCACTTTTACGCTGATTACTTACAAAATACTTAAACCATTCATATATTTGCCATGTGACTTAGAGCCTTACTACACATAGTTATTAATTAGAATTCTATAATTTGATGTATTTGTTTGGAAGTAATAGTTTAAAAGTCGATGTTAACCGAACGAATGAATCATGAAATAACACGAACAAAGCAATAATAAAAGTTTAATATATTATTGTGGGTTTAATGTACTTGTTTTTTTGTTAGGTGTCTACCAGACATACCTCCATATAGGTAATCACAAAAGCCCATGACAAACCATAGCTGGGCTGTAGACCTCATCAATAACTAGATCTTTGCAAGACAAAAATGCATTAAAATAACGTAACATATCACGCCTTTTATCCCCGATGGAGTAGACAGAGGTACACATTACGGTAACATCCACTTTCACTATTATGTCATGACTCCCATGTAATAGGGGGTGAGCCTATTGCCATATACCGGGCACGATTCCAGACTGCATGCTACTATTGAGATTTCTTTTTCAAACTCAGTAATATTATGCCCGACCCGGGAATCGAACGCGAAACCTCATGCCCGGCAGTCCCCTCGGCCAACGAGGCAGTATATTGTTCCGATAATTAAATTACACACGACCAAACTCGTACACAGCCACCAATAAACATGAAACAAGACACTTATTCATATTTTGAACTTATGATAACTGAACGTATCAGTTCATCACTTATCAAACAAATCATCGGAATCAACAAACCGTTCACACACAAAAACATAGCTTTGAAACACTAACCATTCATAAAACAACCACACAAACAAACTTCTATAAAACACACACACACACACATAATGCTAGACAGAACCTACAACTAAACAGCAATCGAGTAACAAAATCACAAGATCAAGTGTACCATAAACTAAAATCTAAATACATATGAATAACTTGGAAACCACAAATATCGTCTGCGCAATTCTAAATTAAGATGAAGCAGACATCAATTTATACGTCAATGCCAACTATTGACAGTAACCTAAGTTCAGCTATAGTTTGTTGCAAGCTTCGTCTACGACTCTACGCTGTGGTTTCGCCTTAAGTTCTTGGCTAAAAGTTAAGATCAAGTTAATACAAGAATCTTTGTGTTTTACATTCACAGTTATCAATGGTTATAACATAATTATTACATAATATCACGCCTTTTATCCCCGAAGGGGTGGGCAGAGGTGCACATTATGCCACTGTACAATGTAACACCCACTTTTCACTATTTATGTTATGAGTCCTATGTAATAGGGGGTGAGCCTATTGCCATATACCGAGCATAATTACAGACCTGAGATTTTTTTTAAATACTTTGCCCAATTCGGGAATCGAACCCGAGACTCCTTGCCCGGTAGGCGCACTTGCGACCACTCGTCCAATGAGAGAGTCAACATAATTATTTTTAGTATAAACACTACAAATCAAATTTAAAGGGAAATTTACAGGTACTAACAAATTCCCACAAGACATAAAAACAAATGACAAATTGTTAGAACATTATTGTAGGTTAATTAATTAGAACTCTGATATTGTTCCAGTACTGGCAACAAAATCAATGTACACAGATAATAATGACAAAAACTATACCGTCGCTTTTAAGGCTAACACTTTACAGTGTAATATGGCACATACATATACATACATCGTCTATAACCACAGCGCATACATACATCAACTTAACATCGATCTGACTAAATGTAACTCAACTGTAAACTCACGGTCTCCACAATTTATATACACTTCATAATTGTACACAGATTACAATTAAAACATCACTTCATTACATAATTATCCAAACTTGGACTTTCAATGTTATACAGACTTAACATAATACACCTGTGTGTTATGAACCTTTTTTCTTGCTACCTATTTGTGTGTTCACCTCATGATTCACAAGAAGTTTTGTCACGATTCACATTCAATGAAGGTCGTTGATTTATTTACTACATTAACATCAACACACAATTTTTCATGAACTAAAAACAGTACTTTCACTTCTACCAAAATTACTCGTATATTTTTCAAAATCAGATTTGTATAAATTAAGTTTTTTTTGCGTAACAATGACCCATGAAAACTAAGACATGAAAGTAAGATTTTTTGATAAAATGTTCAACTATGGAGTATAACTTTCTCATAAGTTATAAATCGACTTAAAACAAATCCTAAAAACAAATTAATTACGAAAAAAGAACATGTGTAAGCCAAATAACTGTTAACTAAACACAAAAATAAAAACAAAAAAAAATTCGCCAATTTAAAAGACGGAACAAGAAACAAAAAATTCGCGCAAGCCGTTAGTCGCATGATAAGAAAATCAAAACAATAATAATTGTACGCACATCTTGAGTTAGAAACCCAACCCTCTCCTACGACACTTAGCTTTGCCGTATCACGGTCGCAGGAGTGAGAGAGGGGCCCGTTAATAAAAACCTGCGCAGACGACCCATCGTCAGTCGCGGCGGGCATCATACCAAAATGAGGACGCTGACTATTACGGTGGGTGCAGTGTGTGAAGTGACCATTTATCGTGATATTTTAAAAACAATAAAATAATAAACAAGTGACTCTCGATAATTCGCTAGTTAACAGTGTTCGACGGAATATAAAAATAAAAATTCGCGATTTCAGTTTCGTAAAAATAAATTGGTGATTTAAAAATGGCTATTTATACGATTTTTAAATGTATATCGTTATCTAATAATTAATTTAAATGTAACTGTAATATTTGATATAATTCCAATATTTATAACGATCGTGAAAATTACCGCGTATAAAAATATTCAGTGATCGATCTGTTAATTCGGTTTAAATGATAAATAAAACATAAGAAGATAAATATTTAATGACTCGATATGTGATCTTGTAATAGTCGTAATCCGAATAATTGACCCGGGCCTCGTTAAATAACATTTACCTACGTCCATACGTAACAGCGTATCATTCATGTCGGATGCGCGGGCGCACTTATGAAAGCACAATACTGATTTCTAAAGTTGCCAATAACTTAAAATAGCATTAACATAAAACGCTATCGTATCAATTTATAAATATTATTTGTTGTGTGCATATTTTTTTTAGTAAAGATTTGCATTAAATATTGTTTCCTACTTGACGTGAATATAAATAGTATGCCTAATGAGTGTATACAGTTAGATACGTTACATAACATTATATGCAACACAATAAAAGAGTTTAAATTAATTCCGTAAAAGTGAAACCGGTAAAAATACATCGACCGTTTAAATACGACTCTTCAATCTTAATTGTGGGAAAGTGAAGCTATTTTGTAATTAAATGCCGCTTTGTTTGTTCCAGATATGGGTGGTGTTGGCGTGCGCCACATCACTTGCCGTACCTATCCAGGAGACGGCCAAGGACACTGAGTTATCTCGTGATAAACGCTCCCCTGGAGGTTGGCACTCTCCACCACCTGAGGGAGTGTGGAAGAAGAAACTCGTATGGAAGGAAGACTGGAAACAAATCTGGAAAACAGAAAAGAAACTGGTCTGGAAAACTGAATGGAAGAAAGAAAAAGTACCAGCATGGAAAACTGAAAAAGTACAACAATGGAAAGAAGAGCAAGTACCTGCGTGGAAAGTAGTTCAGAAACCAATCTGGAAGGAAGTGCAGGTACCCATCTGGAAGGAAGTTCAGGTTCCAGACTGGAAAAAAGTATGGAAACCAGTTTGGAAAGAAATCCAAGTCCCTCACACTAAGGAAGTACAGGTACCTGAATGGAAACAAATCCACGTCCCTGAATGGGTTAAGGAAGGAGTACCCGGAGAGAAATACCTTGGCAAGGACGACCACGGTTGGGAATACACCAGCCACGACCTCTGGAGGAAGAAGATGATCTGGAAGCCCGTATGGAAGAAGGTATGGAAGACAGAGCACAAGCAAGTGTGGGTAACTGAAAAGAAGCTGGAATGGAAAGAAGAATGGAAACAGGTCTGGAGGACTGAGAAGAAACAAGCGTGGGTCACCGAGAAGAAACAAGAGTGGGTAGAAGAGAAAGTACAAATTTGGAAGACAGTCAAGAAAGAGGTTTGGGTGCCAGTACAGAAGAAGATCTGGGTAGAGAAATGGAAGCAGGTTCAGGTACCTGTATGGAAGTCTATTGAAGTGCCAGCGTGGAAGAAGGTATGGAAACCAGTCTGGCAGAAGGTGTGGGTACCAATCCACCACGAAGAACATCACGAAGAACACCACGGATGGGACTAAGATTAGGTAAAAATCTTCCTTGTACATATTTTTTAGTCATTTGTTAACTATTTGTTACCGTCAAGTACCAATTTTTGTAAATATTTTTATTTGTGTAAGTGCGGGGCGTACGCGAAGGTGAATGCTTTCCGGCGAGTGTTAGAAATATTTTCTTTTCCAAAATTGCGACTGCGAAATGTGTTTAGCTTTGCGTGCGCCTTAGGAAGTGAGTTTTACGTAATAGTTTCATACATTTTAACGCAGTTCACTTCCTCCTCTTGAGTCTATTGTTCGTGGCCGACAATGGGCCTGATCCCATGGCCGATTCACTCATGTATACATGTTAGTTTAACACTCGAAACAATATCAACTGCGTGCATAACGTGTACAGCTTCCATACAGATTTGTTTACCGTCTATATTACTTGAAAAGTGGTAAAAGAGGCTTTAGTTATTTTGTTATGTCTGTTCAAAGACATGTTTTTAATTGTCTTTTTTGCTGATTTTAATTGTGGTAATCTTTGTTTTGTAATAGTGGAGCCAAATATATTAACTTCTCAAATAGTATTCACAGTTTATGCAATTTTTATCAGCAGAAAAGTGTTGTATTGGATTAACTTGTTATGTCCTATTTAAATAGTTTTCAATTTTTTTCTTAACTTTTTCCCCTTTTAGTGGAACATAAACCAAAAATTCATTTCTTTTTGGACATTGCAATGTTAGTTCGATCGGTTTAAAGGACGACCGGGTCACAAGTTCGTTTCTCGGTCGATGTAAAGTACAAGTTTGTTTTGTTTTTAAGTTTTAGTAATACAAGAGTTATGAATAATGAGATCTAGTTTTATTTTATATCTCCTAATAATTATAAACATAAATAAATACAGACTCAATGACACACATATACAAAAACGAATTAAAAAAATTGGTTGATAAAAATCTAAAACACAATTGAAATGCCGATCATAAAACATACATTTTTACAATACTCAAAATAGGTCACACGATCGGTATCCAGAGAACTTACAGAAAACACAAAATAAAAAGACTTAAATACTAATACTTTCACTCGATAAATATTAATTCTGAGAACAGGATACAAGCTTACAGTCAATCGTTACAGTTAAAAGAACTTATAAACCCGATATTCAAAAACTAGACTTTATAGTCAAGCACCTTATCATTTCACTAATTACAATCAATTTCAATTAGCACAAATGTTCAATGACGAAAAATCTTAGTCCAATTTTATAATCTAAACCTCATCTCAATACAGATGTCACGCTTGCGACCTATTCAACTATCACACACACCAACACAAAAGTAATACGTAATCTAAAACATCGTAAAGTACGTACATACATGTGAATTGAAAGTAGGAAGTGGAAAGTTCATCATAGGACATCAGAGAGTCGAGGTCTTCATCTCTAAACATGATCTAGCCCACGGGCACACATACAGTGTCGGTACAGACGCACATCAATCTATACCACATAAGTTTACAGGAATTCCAACTTTAAAAACAAGATGTTAAAGTTGAAAATTGATTAAGGATATTTGATACAAATGGAGTACTTTGATGTGCTGTCGTAAAGTCGTGACATTCACAGTGAGATACACACTCATAAAACAATCACGTAACTACTGTTCAATACTGAACTAAGTAATGGCTTATTATCGAAATATATCGCCTCAGGTATTTGAAGATATAGCCTAAGGCCTAAGGTAAGGAGTGAATACTCAAATATTTTAAACTATTGTGCAACTACATTCATGTAATGATAAAAAGCAAAGCTTATTGACCTTAAATGCTAAAATTTAGAATTACTTATAAGAATTTTAAAATTAAAAAGGCAATCGTGTCGTCCAGTCATTTCAACAAGGAGTCAATTTTCTCTTAAAAATAATAAACCACCAATAATTTCATTCGAGTCTATGTAACTGTCGGCAAACAAACCTTTCGTATTATGGTAGTCACAATTGCTAACACGCTACAAAAAAAAAAAACAATTAATAAACTTAAAGTACACAATACTGCTTACTCTTCTTTAGGCAATCAAAGGGCGTGTGCCTATACCAATCAAACCGAAAATTGATTCCAAATCCCACCGAGCACTCTCGCAGCTTTAATAAACAAAAAGACTTAAATACAAGGTGAACAACATCGGTTCATCGAACTCACAATACCAATCGTAATAAATATGAATCCGTACAAACTCAAAGGTTAATTTTTCTTTGATTTCTCAAAGAACATTAGAAACGATTTTTCTTCAATCACTTCTTATGAAGTCTACGAAACTTGTAATTGCTAAGAGAATTTAATTCAATAGATTAAAGTTGGTAATAAAAAACTGTTTGACGTCGAGGGACTTTTGACAGGTAATAGAAGTTTCAGAACTAAATTATTAACAGTGAATAATTTAGAGGTCACATCAAATCAAATTCAATGTGAATATTAATGAAATTTAACTTAGGTACCACTTAATCGGGATTACATTATTTTTTATATTGCTTCTAAGTTAGAACTTTGTCATTGATACTTAAAAAATGCTCTTCATAATAATAGCTAAACGATATTATGTCTCATGATCAGAATTATCTACTCTATAGTCATAATTGTTTAACAATCAAAGTCAAAGTCAAATAATTTATTTCAAAATTGACTATTCAGGCGAAGGGGGCTCCATAAAGATTTTCCACCTTGGAGTAACATAAAAACCTTTAAACAATCCTCAAATTCCTAATCCCCAAAAGACCGGTAACGCTCTTGTTAACTCCTCTGGTGTCCCAGGTGTCCATGGGCGACGCCGATTGCTTACAATCAGGCGATCCGTCAGCTCGTATAAAAAAAAAAAATAAGGAAAAGGAGTTAGCAAATAATACAAATAAGCCCCTAATAACAAAAATAAGGTGCAGCCCAGCTATAAAATTTGTTCAAAAATAAATCAAATGACGGAGGTATCTTCACTCGCTTCGGGTAAATCCGTATCCAGATGAAATGGGCATGCAGATGTGATTCGTACTTGTAATATGTGTAACAAAATCATTCTTTTATACATTTCGTTTAGAAACCCAACTTGAACCACCTCTTTTTTTGTAGTCGGATAATTAATGTACAAACCTTCTTCAAACACTTCTGAAAACTGAATCAAAATCAGGTGAAACTGCGACTCACTTTTTTTCTTTTTAAAGTCGGTTAACGGTGGATATGATGACTTACCTCAGGTCGTGGGGAGCTGATTGATGCCAGTCACCCTCAATAATTGGTGTCTGGATTTCATAAGTCATTTAGACATCTTGTAGCCGATATGCTAATGTAAGTAAATCAAATAATCAAGTAAGTATATCACTGAAAAGTAGAAGTAGGTAAGTAATACAGTTTTAACGAATTCTTCTAACGTAATACTTAGGTGTAAATATTTTGCTATCCAAACTGGCATAACAAATTAGGACGATCTTGTTAGCGACCAATATGAAGAGAGACTCAGCGTGTCTATTATTTTTATAATTAATAAATTAACACATAACA